GGCCGCCCTCACGGCGCCCCCCTCACGGCGCCCCCCTCACGGCGCCCCCCTCACGGCGCCCCCCGCCCCGAGCAGCGCAAGGTGTACCTGGTGGAGTCGGTGCTCACGAGCTTCCTGCTGGGCCTGGTGGAGGCGGGCAGCCCGGAGCAGGCGCAGGCCGTGGTGGGCCAGGTCCTGGACCTCCTGTGGCTCTTCATGGAGGTGAGGGCCCGGGCACGGCCTCGGGCCGCCGCGGCGCCTGGGAGGGCCAGCCCTGGCCGCGCCTGAGCAGCCGCTCTCCCCAGGACTACGAGGTGCACGACTGCCTCAGGCAGCTGGTGATGGCCCTGCTGCGGCTCCACCGCTTCTCGCCCATCGTCCCCGACCTCAGCCTGCAGGTGGGCGCCGCCGCCCGGGGCTGGGCCCTGGCCTCGCCCGCCGCCCTCTGAGCACCCGCCCCGCCCCTCCCCTCCCCGCAGATCCTCCACCTGCGCCTCACCGTGGCCATCCTGCGGCACGACCGGTCCCGCAAGTTCCTGCTGAGCAGCGTCCTGTATCCTCGCCTTCTGCCCGCCCAGAGGCTCCGGAGCCGGAGCGCACAGGGGCCGGCTGAGCAGGATGTCCAGACAGATTTGGGGCAACTGGGAGGTGTGGGGGGCCCGGGGCGGGGTTCCCGAGATCTAGAAGTCCAGAATGGCGAGGGTTCGCAAGTAGAACAGCGGGGAGCGAGGCTCTGGGCCCCTGGCAGGAGTGCGCTGATCTATCCTCTGGGGCCTGGCCAGCCGCCTGTCCCTGTGGCCGCCTGTCCCTGTGGCCGCCTGTCCCTGTGCCCTCCTGTCCTCCGGCCGCCTGTCCCTGTGGCCACCTGTCCCCCGGCCTCCTGTCCCCCGGCCTCCTGTCCCTGTGGCCTCCTGTCCCTGTGGCCACCTGTCCCCTGGCCGCCTGTCCCTGTGGCCTCCTGTCCCCCGGCCTCCTGTCCCTGTGGCCACCTGTCCCCCGGCCTCCTGTCCCTGTGGCCACCTGTCCCCCGGCCTCCTGTCCCTGTGGCCGCCTGTCCCTGTGGCCTCCTGTCCCCCGGCCTCCTGGCCCTGTGGCCGCCTGTCCCCCGGCCACCTGTCCCTGTGGCCACCTGTCCCCCGGCCTCCTGGCCCTGTGGCCTCCTGTCCCCCGGCCTCCTGGCCCTGTGGCCGCCTGTCCCCCGGCCACCTGTCCCTGTGGCCACCTGTCCCCTGGCCTCCTGGCCCTGTGGCCTCCTGTCCCCCGGCCTCCTGGCCCTGTGGCCGCCTGTCCCCCGGCCGCCTGTCCCTGTGGCCGCCTGTCCTGCACACGTACACGCATGGGCACCAGTGAGGTGGGCTGACGGCCACACCCTCTGGGGCTCATGGAGACAAGCCCAGGGCAGTGATGGCCCCTGGGGGGCGTGCGCACTGTGTTGGGCACATGGAGGAGGATGCGCGGAGGAGGGCACTGTGGTGGGCGCGGAGGAGGGCGTGTGGAGGAGGGAAGCGGAGGTGGGCAGGCGGAGGAGGGCACTGTGGTGGGCGCGGAGGGGAAGCGGAGGTGGGCACTGTGGTGGGCGCGGAAGTGACCTTCCGGAGGACGGAGCGGGCGGGCGGGGCCTTACCCAGCAGAGATGCCTTGACGGTCCAGCTTCGACGCGCTCCGCTCCGCCGCCTTCTTCCACATCAAGAGCCCGCTGCGCGTGGAGGAGGCGGGCCTGCAGCAGCTGATCCCCACCACCTGGTGGCCCCAGCGCCCCAGCAAGGAGGTGGGCCCGGCGGTGTCTGGGGGCGGCCGGGCGGGGGGGCCCGGGCGGTGTCTGGGGGGCGGCCGGGGGGGGGGGGTCCAGGCGGTGTCTGGGGGGCGGCCGGGGGGGGGGGCCGGGGCGGTGTCTGAGGGGCGGCCGGGGGGGGGGGTCCGGGCGGTGTCTGAGGGGCGGCCGGGGGGGGGGGTCCGGGCGGTGTCTGGGGGGCGGCCGGGGGGGGGGGGCCCGGGCGGTGACTGAGGGGCGGCCGGGGGGGGGCCCGGGCGGTGTCTGGGGGGCGGCCGGGGGGGGGGGGGTCCGGGCGGTGTCTGAGGGGCGGCCGGGGGGGGGGGTCCGGGCGGTGTCTGGGGGGCGGCCGGGGGGGGGGGGGCCCGGGCGGTGACTGAGGGGCGGCCGGGGGGGGGCCCGGGCGGTGTCTGGGGGGCGGCCGGGCTGGGGGGGGGGCCCGGGCGGTGTCTGGGGGGCGGCCGGGCTGGGGGGGGGTCCGGGCGGTGTCTGGGGGGCGGCCGGGCTGGGGGGTGGTGGGGAGCCAGCTGTCTTCCTCCTGCCCCTCCAGGGCAAGGACAGCCAGGAGGAGCAGGAGGAGACGGCCGAGGAGCGGCTGCGGAGGCGCGCCTACGAGCGGGGCTGCCAGAGGCTCAAGAAGCGCATCGAGGGTCAGGCCCCGCCGGGCGGGGGCGCGCACGGGGGCGCGGGCAGCGGGGGCGCGCACGGGGGGCGCGGGCTGCTGGGGGCGCACAGGGGCGTGGGCGCTGGGCTTGGGGTGCCCCGCCCCGGCCTGCACCCCTCCCTGCCCCTGCCGCGGGCAGGGCTGCGGGGCTCAGTGTGCCCCCCCCTCAGTGGTGGAAGAACTGCAGGTGCAGATCCTGAAGCTGCTGCTGAACAACAAGGATGAGAACGGGGTGAGAGCCGCGCCTGGGAGGGTCCCTGGCGGGCGGCCCGGCTCCAGGGCAGGTCCGGCCCACGGCGCGCGCTGGTCCAGCCTGGGCAGCGTCCTCAGCTCCTCGCTCTCACCTTCCCGCCCGCAGGGCGAGGCTTCCCGGTACATCTTCCTGACCAAGTTCCGCAAGTTTCTGCAGGAGAACGCCAGCGGCCGGGGGGTGGGTGTCGCAGGCGGCAGGCTCTGTGCTCTGCTTCTGCCCCCTCTCCGCCCGCCCTCCCTCCGAGCCTGGGCCCCTGCCCCTGCCCCTGCCCCTGCCCAGGAGGACCCGGGCACTCGGGAGGCGTGGGCGGCTCTGGGCTGAGCAGCGATGGCTGTGCCCTGTGCCCGCAGAACGCACCCCTGCTCTGCCCCCCGGAGTACATGGTCTGCTTCCTGCACCGGCTGTCACCGCCCTGCGCTGCTGCTGGGACGAGGTACAAGGCCGCCACCCCCCACGCCTCCCCCCAGCGAGGGTGAGCGGGCCAGCAGGGCAGAGCCAGCCCTGGGGGGCAGGCGGGGGGCAGCAGGAGCCCTGTCGGGGGGCTGTGAGCCGTCCACACTGATGGTGCCCACGGGCGCCCAGCCGCCAGCCCTCCCTGCAGCCCTGCATTGGGGATCCCCATGGGGGGGCTCTCATTTTCCCCTTCACCCCAGGCTGTGCTGTTGCTGGCACTGACCTGAGACGGAGCGGGTGGGAGGCGGCCAGGGCCCCGTGTGTGCCCGGGGCGGGTGGGCGGCCCACCTGGGCGGGTGGGAGGTGGCCAGGGCCCCGCTGTGTGCCCGGGGGGGTGGGTGGGAGGTGGCCAGGGCCCCGCTGTGTGCCCGGGGCGGGTGGGAGGTGGCCAGGGCCCCGCTGTGTGCCCGGGGCGGGTGGGCGGCCACCTGGGCGGGTGGGAGGTGGCCAGGGCCCCGCTGTGTGCCCGGGGGGGTGGGTGGGAGGTGGCCAGGGCCCCGCTGTGTGCCCGGGGGGGGGGGTGGGAGGTGGCCAGGGCCCCGTGTGTGCCCGGGGGGGGCGGGTGGGAGGTGGCCAGGGCCCCGCTGTGTGCCCGGGGGGGTGGGTGGGAGGTGGCCAGGGCCCCGTGTGTGCCCGGGGCGGGCGGGCGGCCACCTGGGCGGGCGGGAGGGACGCTGGGTCTGACGCCGGCCTCGCGCAGAGGCCTACGTGCCGCCCCAGGTGTTCTACAACGGCAAGGAGGACTACTTCGACCAGCAGCGCCTCGGGGGGCTGCTCTCCCACCTGCGCAAGACCCTCAAAGGTGCGCCGGGGAGCGGTCCGGGCGGGCACAGGGGCGCCGCTCTGCCGTGCGTGGCCACCAGAGGGGCGCCCGAGCACCGCCTGGGGGGGAGGCTGCTCTGCCGCTGCCTCTGGCCTCTGGGCCCTGCAGGGCGGCGGGTGTGGGTGCTGGCAGAGGGGGCACCCTGGGGCCCTGGCGAGGCATAGGGGCAGGGAGGGGCGGCAGGGTGCCCTGCCACCCAGTCTCCACAAGAGGAGTCCCTGGGGCACGGGGCACGTGCAGGTGGGGTGCGGGCGCAGAGGCCAGTGGGCCCTGCCGGACCCTGCCCGGCCGGGTCCCTCGCCCCTCCCACTGGCCTGAGCCTGTTCTCCCCCCAGACGACCTGGCGTCCAAGGCCAACATCCTGATCGACCCCCTGGAGCTGCAGGCGGCCACCATGGATGACCTGGACGAGGACCAGGAGCCGGCCCCGGCTGCGGCCCGGTGCGCGCAGGGCACTCCCCATCTCCGAGGCGGGCCCGCACGCCTCCGGGAGCTGACGGCTGCCGCCTCTCCCCACAGCGCCCCTTGCAGGCCCTGGCCATCGGGGGCACGCTCGCCCCTGCCCCGGCCTGGCTGGCTCAGCTCCCCGACCCTGGGCCGAGCCAACCGCTTCCTCAGCACCGCGGCCGTGACCCTGATGACCCCCCCGGCAGCCTCTGAGCTCCGCCGAGAAGGTGAAGGTCCGCACGCTGAGCGCCGAGCAGAGGACCCGCGAGGACAGTAGGTGTCGGCGTCGAGGCCCCCCCCCCCCCGGCAGTCGTCCCCCCCCCCCCGCCTCCCAGCCCCAGCCCCAAGGGCGAGGGAAGTACACTCCAGGCAGATCGATGGCACGGAAAT